CCAACATATAATGTCACAGGGTAAACATTCCCATTCCAAAAGGGAAAAACAGAAATAGGCGTAAATGAGACCAAAGCAAGACCAAAACCCAGTAAGGCAAACATTAGATCCTATAACTGCATCTCTAGCACTTGGGGCAGGTTGTAGTAAGGTGTAAGTTCCAAAGTTTGGGTGGCCCCATGTATATGGCTTTGCTGGTTACAACTCACCTGGCCTTTCACTTGGACTGGCTCCACTCACTTTCTGTGGCTTTCCTCTGAAGACATTGCATGTTCCTGACATCTCCAGCTTCCTGGGACTGCACAGTTTAGGTTCATCCACAACTCATGCACTACCCTCTCACAGGCTCCTAGAAAAGACTGGCCTTGTCACACATTTTTGCCTGGCCTCCCTGGCCTTCTTCTGAAGTGTAACTGGAAGCCTCTGTGGCCACATGACTCTTACAGTCTGCATGCCTAAAAACCCAGTGCTGTGGGTTACACCAAGGTTGAACAGTAGCTAGACCCCTTTGGACCGTGGCTGCAGTGGCTTCTTGAGTGCCTGAATGGCTGAATTTAAGGATGTGCTTCCCTAGGCAGCCATGAGTGACCATGTGTCCAAGAGACTCACATCTTAAAGATGTAGGATTTTGTGCCCTTGAGCCTTCAAGGGATGAGGTCTTACTGATTTCTGAGATGCCCTTGAGCCATCTCTCCTATTGTTCTGATGCAAAATACAGTAGTACCTCATTCACAAATGCTTTTGTTTGCAAACAGTTTGGTTTGCAAGCAAATATTAGGCAAAATTTTGTTTGTGAACTCTCCATCAGGTAATGAACATGATCACAGCCATCTTTCCCACACAAACATCAATGTGGACATCTTTTTCAGACTCAGGGAACAAAGTTTGTGAACTGAGCTACCACTGTACTTGGCTTCTTTTTAATGCTAATCTTTTCAGCAATCATGTTCCCTTTTGCCCCAACTTTGTAGGAGCTTCCTTTCTGACAAAACTGTGAACTTTTCCATCAACTCTGCTTTTTGCTCCTAATTTTCACTGTGGATCTGGCTAAAAGCAGCCAGTAGTACAAGCTGAACATTGAGCTACCTACACCTAGAATTTTTTCCAATAAATTAATTAGTCTGCTACCCTTAATCTCATTCTTCTGCAGTCTTAGGACATGGGCAAAAAATAGACAGATCTTCTGCCAGAGTGTAACACATATTGCCTCTAGTGCAGCTGCCAATGGAGTTCTTGTTCCCACCTGAAATCTCCTGAACCTGGCCTTTTTGTTATCCACATTCCTATCAACATTCTGGCCTTCTGAGCTCCAACCAGAATTTCTCATCAATCTGCTCACAGTACTCTACAGCTTCTCTAGCCCACTTCTCCAAACCGTTGTACTTATGTATTTATTTACTTTTCCAAACCATTTTTTTAGTCAAGGTCTTGCTGTATAGTTCAGGCTGTCCTTGAACTCACTATGTAGCCCAGGGAGAGAATACACACTTCCAAGTCATACTCCCAGTGACTACCACCTTCTTACAAGGCCCCACCTCTGAATGTGACTTTTAGGGGACATGGTAGATCTAAACCATAATAACCTGCACAGTGTTACTCAGTATTCTGTAGTTTGCTTTACCTATGCATAGAATTAACTCTGCTATATATATTAGTATACTATGTATACTGTGGGTTGAAACCAGGACCTTTGCATTGAGCTACACCTCTTGTCCCCACCTTTAAAAAACAAAAACAAAAAACAAGAAAACCAGGAGCTTGCTAAATTGCTCAGGCTGAACTTGAACTTGTGATCCTCCTGCCTCAGCCTCTTACAGTGCTGGGATTACAAGCATGTGCTGCCATACCCAGATTTCACATTGGTTTTTTGTTTGGCTTAATTTGGTTTTGGTTTTGGTTTTGGTTTGGGGGGATGGGGGGGGTGGGGTGGGGGTTGAGAACGGGTTTCACTGTGCAGTTTGGGCTGGCCGTGTACTCAACTATGTCACCCAGGCTGACCTTGAACTCATAGGATCCTCCTGCTTCAGCCTCCGGAGTGCTGGTATTATAGGTGTGCTCAACCTTCTTTTTTAAAACAACCTTTTCCATAGTATGAATGTGTCTTATTCTAGTTGATCATTCCTCTTTTGGCTGAGTCTTCGATTATCCTCAGTTTTTGTTGCATATGTCTTTGCATTTTTCTGTGACTGTCTTTCTGGGTTAGTGTCCTTATAATTGCTGTATCAAAATGTGAAAACACTGGCAGATGGCCCCTCAGAACATTTGTATGAATTTACACTGCTACAGCAGGCATGGGCCTGCCTGCTTCTCTTACCTCCTGTGCTTATCTGCTGGAATAAAAATAACAAGAAGCAGGGTTGTACATGGAACCAAGAAAAATGTAGGTTATTCTCAGACTCTTTACTGGTTCTCCCTTTTCTCCCCAACTCCTCAAATTGGGTACCCCCAGGACATTCCTGTATCTGTATTCATATCCCCTTGGTGACTTCATCCAAGTTGATTGCTTCAAATACCAAATAATGTGCAGATGACTCCCAAACGCCATCTCCAAGCCACCTGGTACCCCACCTGCAGCTCATGTGTCTGCCCCAGGAGTCTCTCCCAGCTGTCTGCTACACATCACTGAGAGTCCTGATCTGTCACCCTGCTGTTCCACCCAGTGCCTTCCCTCTTCCAGGCTGATGGCAAGTCCCTTATACCAAAAACTTCTTTCCACACCCTACAGTCAGACCATCAGGAGCTGTTTTTGTCCCTATAAACTGTGTCCTGATTCCAAAGTGCTTTTTACACCTCTGCTTCCACTGTGGTTTGAGCCACCATCATCTTATCTAGATATCCTTCCCTGGTCCTGCCATGGCCACCCAAATGGTCTCAGAAGAAGTTAACATCTTTCTAATGAGATGGTTCAGCAGCACAGCACCTGCCTGGCAAGCGCAAGGTCCTAAGTTCAATTCTTAGTACCCAAATAAAAGAATAAGTTAACATCACAGTTATGTCCTTGCTTTGGGCTTTACATGACTGATCTCTTTTTCCAGTGCACTTCACAGATACAGATCCACCCTCTGCATATTCTAGTGTTACCTTCTCAAGAAGGAAGCTCCACTCATTCTGACCATCTGCTCTAGCTTTCTATTGGCAACTGTTTCCATGGCGCCATTTATCAGGGACACCTGCAGTGAGCTTGTCTCCTGCCTGAATTATGCACATGGCAGGAAAGAGAAAGAGCAAGAGACAAAAATGGCAGGTGCATAGCAGGGACCTGGGATGACCCATTGTTTGCGGGGGAGCCCAGACTCTTGGTATTTATTCATTACATCTGAGTCAGGGACAGTGGGTGAAGTGTTGGGTATTTCTGGGAACAGCAGGCTAGGAAGATCAAAACATTCTTGCGGGACAAGAGGGGGGCACTAGGGAAACAAGTACAAGGACAAGAGGGGGGCACTAGGGAAACTGGGTTCCCCCAGTGCCTTATCCTCTTCAGCAGGCCTTATCTTGCCCTGTGAAAGCCACAGCAGTCATTAGCCCTAGGACTTCCAGCTGTGACCAGAAAAGAGTGGGGAGTTTCCACAGTCCAATCTGGCCCAAAAGGGCAGGACAAAGACAATAATTTGTGGTCTCCAAAGGCTTTTTTTTTCCCCTGAGAATGGAATGCAAGGCCTTGCACATGCCAGGCAAGTAAGTGCTCTGCCACTAAGCTACATCCCCAGCCGCTGACCATCTGCTGTAGGGTACCATTGCTCTCCTCCCCTTTTTATGACTAGCATTTACTACAGACTCCCATTTGCCTCTGTGTACTGTTGCTGTCTGCTTGCTGGAGTGTAAACCACATGGTCCATGGAACTAATGTTCTTTGTCCTAGTCATTGATGTCTTCCATGAGCTGGGAACAGGACCTGGCCTGATAGGAATTTGAAGATCACTGTGTAGACTGTTGGCCGGGAGGCACAAACAGCAGTGAGACCCCACAGGACACATGTGAAGGCTGTCTGCTCAGTGAGACCAGGGGCTTGAGGGCACTTCTCTTGTCAAGGCATCTGTTGGCGGTGTCTGTACCTCATGCTGCTTTGGGAGGCAGTGGGCTACGGGACCTTGAGCTTTCTGTTTGTGAAAGGGCAGTTCCATCTTCCCAGCAGCTCAGAGTGCCTTTCTCCTGCCAGTCCGGGAGAACAGTCTGTCAGTGTCACATGCAGAACTGACCCTGTACTGCAAACAGAGCCTCTCAGGAGGGTTCCTAACCACAGCAGGGCAGAGCGCTGTATCTGCCTGGACTTCGGAAAATACTCCACAGCAAGCCCCTTTCACAAGTTATGAGTAAACATGCCAATTTAAAAATTGTTTATAGCAGTTATCTAAGGGGTTTATTTGGTTCATTTTCCTTTTTAAAACGTCCTTCTCTTTGCCATCTGGTAGCTTTCAAATCATTCAACACCTGGTTTATGGATGAGACAACACTGAAGTCTTCAGTTATAAGACCACTGAGAGTTTTTTTTTCTCCTAATATTTTTAAGAAAGTTGTTGTCTTGTGTTGGTCATCTTAAATGTGTTTTATTTTATGAAAATATATGCATTTACTTTGTAAAAATATTATTGAAAACACATTAATCAATGCACATATAATACTTGTTTCTTCTGCTTACCTCTTAGGAAAAGCTGATTGTTACTTTCATAATGAACTTGTCTTGTTTTCTTAGACTTTACCAGTAAATGTTTGATTAATGGCCTGCTTGTTATCTGTTGCCATTGTCTTAGGATTGTTTCTCATATGTGGGCTTAGTCACAGCGGCCATTCTGACAGGGCCCCTGGGAGGGTCAGCGCTCTCTCCCAGCTCCTAGAAGTCAGACCAGGAAGCTCACTCCCCAAAGTCTTCTCGTACCCCGCTTCGTGCGAGCTGGGGGTGAAGCATCAGAGGGAGCTCTGCACTGGGACGGGCACCAGGTGTGGGTGACAGTGGTACTGATTCTGAGGCTGGGATAATAACGCAGTACTTTCCTTTCTTACAGTTGTTTCCTCTCTTTGCTCCTGGTGGCTGCTGTGGTTTGGAAGATCAAACAAAGTTGTTGGGCCTCCAGGCGTAGAGAGGTAAGGCTCTTTAAAGAAGGTGAAGAATCCCCAAAAGAGCTTTTTTTTTTTTTTTTTTTTTTGGTTTTTCTCCGGTACCGGGAACCGAACTCACGGCTTTGCGCTTGCCAGGCAGGCGCTTTGCCGCTGAGCTAAATCCCCAGCCCCCCCAAAAGAGCTTTCTCTCTGAGGCAAGTCACTTGATTTAGTGATTAGGGATAGGAGAATACTGCCCTCTCTGCAGGATAGGGTTCTGCACCGGTGAGTAGACTCAGTGTAGTCTGCTATGGAGCATCCTTCATTCTGCCGCGGTCGTGGCCACCGCTTGACTTGACACAGCCGTCTGAAGAGCCTTTCATAACAGTGAGAATAAAGGGAGTCAGGTGTGTGAGCGTGTGCACACATGTAATCCCAGCACTCTGGGTGGTGAGGCAGGAGGAATCACAAGTTCAAACCCACTGTAGGCCCAGCCTTGGCAACTTAGCGATTTATCGAGACCCTGATTCAAAGTGAAGAAGGAAAAAAGGGAACTGTGGAGCCATGTTGCTTCGTAATCCTTCCACTTGGCTAAAGTCAGGCCTGCTTTCCTCTGCTGAAACTGAACCAGATGTTTGTACAGCAATAAAACAGTGTGCCTCCTTGCACAGAAGACAGGGCCAAGAGAACGCTTCATTCAGAGATGATGTAACCTAACAATACAAATGGAAAACTGGAAAACTGAGCTTTTAACTCTGAACTGGACCATGCATCATATATTTCATGATTTCCAGAAGATCAGTAGTGACTTATTCCCAGTCAGGACACTTTAAATCCTTGCACACACTAAGCCCTGCTTGGACTCCTTCTGCCTACATCAGCTTCTGCACTGCTGGAAGACTGTGGAGTGAAAGCTGCAGAAGGGGAGGAGTTCTGTCTCACTGTCACTCCAGCACTTAGGTTAGCACAGAGCAGAAAGCTGGATTCTGCATATAATTGCTCAGTAAATACATGGACCATGGACTATCTTTCTCTCTCTCTCTCTCTCTCTCTCTCTCTCTCTCTCTGTCTCTCTCTTTCTCTCTCTTTGGTCTTTTTGAGATGTGGTTTTGCTATGTAGTTCAGGCTGGGCTTGAACTCACTTTGTAGCCCAGGCTGACCTCTAACTCACAGCGATCCTCCTGATCTTCCTGCTTCAGCCTCCCAAGTGCTGAGATTACAGGCATGCGCCACCACACCCAGCAACCATCAACTTTTTGAAATGTAAAAATCTATTGTTTTAACATAAAAATTCCCTTCTAGAACCCAGTGATGAGCTCTGCAGCGCATAATTCTGTCTCCTACCATAGTTCCTAAAAAAGTAGTTTGACATAAGTCCTGTATATCATCCAACTCAGTCTCAAGAACGTACCCAGAAGATCTCTAATATCCGTAAGGATACATGGGTGACCATGTACCATGTGCTTGGCAGTGTCTTACCTGATCTGATGACCCCAGGGGATCATATGGATTCAGAGAAGAGGAAACTTAAGACCAAATATGCTTTTGTTTGTTTTTTAAGAGCAGAATAGGGGCTGGGGATCTAGCTCAGCGGCAAAGCGCCTGCCTGGCAAGCGCAAGGTCGTGAGTTCGGTTCCCGGTACCAGAGAAAAACAAAAAAGAGCAGAATATTATTGAGGGAAAGAAAAAAAAGCTTCTGTCCAGGAGAGGGACAGAAGGGGGACCCGAGTGAGTTACCCCAAACTCTTTGTCTTTTCTAGGGACTTTTATAGGGCAAAACTACGAGATGAGGAGTGTCCAAGGTAGCGCAAACTGGACAAAACTAGGGTCAGCCAATAAGAATTGTTCAGGTAGAATTGATTAAATTGGGAGCAAATGGGGAAGCAAGTCACGTAGCAAGCGAGCATAAATACAGAACAGGGGCTGTTCCTCTAAGGGGGTGGGTCAGGGACTCTTCAAGGTGATCGCTACCTATTTAGAATGTCAATCCCAGATGTCCATCCCTTGGGAGGTAAGAGGGTGTGTTTGTTTAGTCTGTTGTGTTGAGGTCTGGCCCACAGCAGATACAAATTTTATCTTGTCTTTCATGTGGCTCCTTCCAGGGCCCGGCCCTGTCTGACTGCCTATAATATTTCTGTCTAACTCAGCTGTCTGTAACATTCCCTCCTCTGAAGAAGTAACCTCAACTTCTGTGAGGGAGTAACAGGCGATGACCTGTGTGACTTCTTAAGGCTGCAAGGGGTCGTAGTTGTTGATTGGCAGTCAGAGATACTCTTCAAGAGGGTCTATCTACAGGCCCTCGATAGACACCAGGCATTTTCATCTTGGGTAGGCATATAGTTTTAAATCTAGAGGAGACAAAGCCAAAGAAACAATTAAGTATGCATGGGCCAAATAATAAGATCAGCAAGATTATTATGAACACAGTCAAAAAAGATTTCCACCAAGAGGAGCCAGTAATGGCCTCCCATAAAGAGGATAAGTTCCGAGCTATGAGCTCTGCTAGCTGAGCACTAGTCCCTAGTCCCAGGTGTAAGTGAGGAACTTTCGAGCCTGATGTAAAGTTACCACTGCATACCCTGCCTTCCTTATCCCATTTTCTATGAAGGAGCTGCCATCACAGAAAAGGGTCAAATCAAGGTTAGTAAGGGGTGTGTCTAATAAGTCTTCTCTAGCTGCATATGTATGGAGAATTACCTGTTCACAGTCATGTTTGTCAGCCTCAATTTCCTCCTTTTCTGGTAAAAAGGTAGCAGGGTTTAAGGAAGAGCATGTCTTTATTTGAATGGCTGATCCTTCTAGAAGTAGAGCCTGGTATTTAAGAAGTCTGCTGTCTGATAGCCAGAGGCTCCCTTTGGATGAAAGAAGTCCTGCCACAGTGTGAGGTATATACAGTGAGATCTTTATCTAAAGTTAGCTTGGATGCTTCTGGCACTAAGAGAGCTACAGCTGCCATAGCTCTAAGGCAAGAAGGCTCTCTCTTTGCTACAATGTCTAATTCATAACTCAGATACCCTACAGTCTGTTGAGTGGGTCCCAGATCCTGTGTAAGTACTCCTAAAGCCATACCTTGCCTTTCATCGACATATAAATTGAAATGGTGTCCTGTGGGGAGGCTTAGGGCTGGAGTATTTAGGAGAGCTTTTTTAAGCTTCTGGAATGCTGTTTGGGAATCAGGTTCCCAGGTTAAAATATGGGTATCTGTCTTTTGGGCCTCTTTTATAAGTTGATAGAGTGGTCTTGCAATCTCCCCATATCCTGGTATCCAAAGGCGACAAAAACCTATAATTCCTAGGAATCCCCTTAGCTGTTTTAGGGTCTTGGGCTGTGGGAAGGAAAGAACTGGTTTAATTCTATCCTTTCCTAGCCTTCAGGTTCCCTTGGATATGATGAGGCCTAAATATTTTACTTCAAGACCACAAAGTTGTGCTTTAGATTTAGAGACCTTGTAACTTCTGTCTGCTAGAAAATTTAGCAAAGCACAGGTGCCTTGGCTACAGAACTCTTCTGAGGGGGCACATAAAAGAATGTCATCTACATACTGTAAGACTGCGACCTGGAAAGACTCAGAGCATGCCAAATCATGGGAAAGCACTTGCCCAAAAAGATGTGGACTATCCCTGAACCCTTCGGGAAGCACTGTCCACGTCAATTGAGAAGCCTGGTCATGAGGATCTTCAGAAGCAGAGAGAAACTGGGAATCTATGTAAAGGAATACAAAAGAAAACATCTTTTAAGTCTAACACCAAAAACAAACTGGCATCTTCTGGCATTTGAGAAAGGAGTTTATATGGGTTAGGTACCATTGGGTGAATTGGCACTACTGCCTCATTTATCAATCTAAGGTCCTATACTAATCTCCATTCCCTATTGGGTTTTTGAATAAGCCCAAATATGTTAATTAAGCATACCTTTCTTTTTTCTTTTTTTCTTGCAAATTTTTTTGAGACAGCTTTGCTGTGTTCCAGGTTGACCTCAAATTCATAACCCTTCTGCCTCAGCCTCCTAAAGTGCTAGGATTGACGTGCATCACCACACCCAGCTTTTACACACCTTCCTTCAGGGTAACACAGCTGGAGAGAGTTTGAGCAGGGGTTCACATCCACATTTCCCTGAGTCCAGACCCCCTGCTGTCCCTGCCCTGCAGAATTTCCCATTCATGTTAGCTTACACCATCTCTGAATGAAGAGTTCTCTTGGTCCTGTCTGCTGTGCAGTAAGGAATGATATTTTGTTGTTGTACAAATATCTGGTTCTGTTTCAGCAGGAAGAAACGAAGCCTGACTTTAGCCAAGTAGTAGGAATATTAAGCAGTAAGTTTCCATCATTTGATGTATTTAACATGCAGATATCGTAACATAATATCCACCACTACTTTATTGTGTATCTCCAGGAGATAGCTTTTTTTTTTTTTTTTTTTTTTTTTTTTTTTTTTGTGGTTTTTCTCTGGTACGGGGAACTGAACTCATGACCTTGTGCTTGCTGGCAGGCGCTTTGCCGCTGAGATAAATCCCCAGCCCCGAGATAGAGAGCTTTAAAGATACAACAATAATGTTATGCCTAGTCCATGTCCATTTATCGCCCACTATCACAGAAGTATAATTTAGATTTGATTTGTTTGAATTAGGGAAGATAAGGTATTTTTAATATGCACTGTTTAGTAATAGAATGTTCTTGATACTCATTGCCTAATTATTTATTAGCAACTTCTTCGAGAGATGCAGCAGATGGCCAGTCGACCCTTTGCCTCCGTAAATGTTGCCTTGGAAACCGATGAAGAGCCTCCTGACCTGATCGGGGGAAGTATCAAGGTGAGAAGGTTATTCAAAAGTCCCCATAAATTAACTCTAGAAAGCTCAGGCTTCTGAGCTGGAAAACCAGTGAGAGCAAATGCCTTGTTGGGTTACTTTTCTTTTTCTCTCTCTCTTCTTTAATAGCTAAAACGCTGAAGTTGTCAGACACTCTTCTGCATTTGTTTTCTAGTCATTGGCCATATTGTTAAGCAGTCTTATATTTGGGGGATTTTTACATATAAATTATTGTATCTGATGGTGTTTTAAGTGTTCTGTGACAAAATAGTTTAACTTTTTATTTGAAAATAGCCAAACTGAGCCATTGTTCTTTATAATATTCTTGGGTTTGTTTTTTTTTAAGCAGCGAAATGATAACTTGCTATGTATTCTGTGGAAAATAAGTATTTTGTCACCCTAAAATTGTAAAGAAAGTGACAGGACTTTATTGACAAAATGGTGAAATACATCAGATAGTTTGGTAAAACAACTATATATCCTGAGTAAGACATACTTTTTAAAACATTATTGAGTTCCTCCGAAGAAGGCAAAACCTCCAGGAACTAAAAAGAATAAACAGTGAACCAAAAGCAGAACCATGAGCTATCTAAAGTGGTTCCGGGCAGGTAAGACATCACAGCTTCCCGCTAAAATGGATGGAAATCTTCCTCATAGGAAAACATCACCAATCCCTGTAGGAGTCCACAGCTCAGGATCAAGCAACTGATGATCACCAAGTACAAGAAGAGGCAGCCACGGTAGGGAGAGTTAGCAGAAACAATAGGTGGTGGATCTAGGACTGCAGATGTTACAGCAGATGTGTAAAGACTATAATGCAGCTGTGTATGAAGTGTTTAAAGAAATAAAAATGGGAATCATACAGATGATGAAGCCATGTGCGTCAATAACCAGTGGAACTTCTAGAAATGAAAATATAGTTGTTGAAATTTTTAGAATAACTCAGAAATAATACATTACACACAAATGAGAGAATTTAAGAACTAGAAGAGGAATGTGAAAAAGTTACACTGAAAGTAACACCAGTTATAAGGACATGAAGGACAGCATGAGGAGATACATATATATGTATTTTTAGAGTACCAGAACAAATAAATGGAAGAGAGGCAACATTCAGAGATTTAATAACTGAAAATTTTCAGAACTGATGGAATATATGTATGTAAAGATTCCAAGGCAAAACATATCATAAGCAGGATTATAGAAACCAAGCAAGAAGGAAGACAAGAGGAAAACTTGGTGGATTTACCATAGCGAAACCACAGAACCCCAAAGACAAACAATATCCTAAAACCAACTAGAGACTGATTCACCTGCAATGCAAGGAAATTGGAATCCTTGGGCAGTTTTGGTGGAAATGTAAAATGCTACAGCACCTGTAAAACAGTATTGCTATCCATTTTTTTAAAATTAAAAGAAATATTATATGATCTAACCTTTCTACTTCAGGGTATATACCCAAAAGAATTAAAAGCAGAATCTCAAAGATATTTATACAACAATATTTATGGCAGTATTATGATTATGATTATTATTTTGGAGGTTTTTTTGAGACAGAGTCACTTTGTAGTGCAGGCTAGCCTTGAACTTGCTTGTGCAGCCCAGCTTGGCCTTGAATTCAGGCCGATCCTCCTGCCTCAGTCTCTAGTTCTCACTCTTGTGCTTTCATTGGACAACGAGTAGCATCAAATACTTCACTGTCTTCCACATTTTCCAGCCACTGTGCCTACCTCTACCTTGATCTAAGCCGCTGTCATCTCTTCTTTTTTTTTCAATATTGGGGATTGAGCCTAGGGCTGTTATACTGAGCTACATCCCAAGCCCTTTTTCAGTTTGTTATTTTGAGATAGTATCTCACTAAATTGCTCCAGCAGACTTGAATTTGTAATCCTCCTGCTTCGGTCTTCTAAAGTGCTGGGATTGCAGGTGAGAAACACCATCCCCGGCTCCATTTTCTTATATGGATAGGCCCTTAGAGTCCTCTCTTTCTCTCCCCATCACTCATCAAATTTGTGAGGTGATTTGTTTACTGCTGCTAGGCTGTGAGCTTCATGAAGGCAGGCATTCAACTAGATTTAGTTCATTTTAGTATCAGGAATAGGGTCAGGAACCCTATAAACACTGATTGATTTCTTTTTTCCTTAAATGCATTTTTAACAAAGTAATCATGAGTTTTACAGTTTTCTAGCACTCATATGCCAAAAAAATCATGATTGTTTAGGGTCATATTGATTTTTTTAATATTTTGAATTATTTCTCTGCAGATTTTTATTAATATGCTTTCTAATAATGGACTATAGTTAAATTTCTAAAGTAAGTCTACCTTAGCCCAACTGTAATATAATTATATCATAGACTATGAGTTCTCTTTGCTAGGATTTTTCTTTTTCTTTTTCTTTTTTTGGTACCTGGAATCGAACTCAGGACCTTGCGCTTTCCAGGCAGGCACTTGTGCCATTGAGCTATATCCCCAGCTCTAATATTGCTAGGATTTTAAGATTTTCCTGTTACACTTGTTTTCTTTTTTGTGTGCTTTGTCAGATTTGTTTGTTTGTTTGTTTGAGACAGGGTCTCACTATGCAGTTCAAGCTGGCCTTGAGCTCACTTTGTAGCCCAGGCTGGTCTCAAATTCGCAATGATCCTCCTGCCTCAGCCTCCTAAGTGCTGGGATTACAGGTGTGTGCCACCGTGCCCAGCACTTTGTCAGATTTTGACATCAAGGTTATACACTGATACTTAATTTGTTCTATGATTTTGGAAAAGACATCAACATTTGTGTTTGTGTGGGAAAGATGACGGCAATTGTGTTTGTCATCCAATTCAGAGTTTGCAAATAAAAACAAAATTTTGCCAAACCAAAGCATTAGTGAACCAAGGTACCATTGTACCTGTATTTTCATGGTTTATGTTTTTATATTCTTATGTTTTAAATATCTTCTATAAACAGCCTGAAGTTTCTTAGTGTAATTAATTGATTAGCTGGCAGGCCTGTGGATCCAACCCAGGAGCACTGTACCATTGAGCTACACCCCAGCCCTTTTTATTTATCGTTTTGAGAGAGGGTCTACCTAAGTCACTAAGTTGCCCAGGTGGCACTTGCCCAGGTCTTCCTGCCTCTGCCTCCCACAGTGCTGGGATTACAGGCAAGCATCACTGTGGCTGGCTTCACCCAGATTCTTTCAGTTGCCTAATAACTGAATTTCCACCACTGTCATTTCACCCATCTGGTTGGTTCCCTGTACCACAGCAGAGTAGTACTAGAGATGATTTTTTCAATCGGATTGAAGAAATTGATGACGTATTTGTGATTAATGGTAGTAGAACCCTAATGGTGGCACTCAATTCCTGTCTCCTGGTTATTCAGTCAAACCCACCCTGGGCACTATGAAGAGATGTGGCAGATGTAATAAAATTCCCTTCATAGCAGTGCCTTTGGCTGGTGGCAGAAGAGGAAGCCAGACGGGGAGATCGTGGAGGGAGAGAGCCACGCGAGGAGGAGCTAGGCAGCCTCTAGCAGAGGAGAGCAGCTCCTGACTACAGCAAGGAAATGGGGGTGTCCACCCTCCATCCATCTGCGAGGAGCTGGCTCCTCCCACAACCAGGAAGAGTTTTAAAACAGATCCTTCCCCCGGCCCCTGAAGAAGAGCACAGCCCAGCCAACAATTTGACTCCAGCCTTACAGACCCACGTGAGGGAGGCTGAGCACTGTCCAGACCTGACGTGGACATGATGAGGCCTGAGTCTCTTAAGCAGAGAGGCTCACGGGGCTGCATTCGCTTCTGCTCTGTGGGACTGTCAAGACGATAGAGGGCTGTTGTGTAAACAACGAGTCTGCTGCATGGCAGCAGAACCCTGCACAGGAGGCGTCTTTATACATCACGTCTGAAGGCTGCAGTAGAAAACAAGGACATATTTTCCAGAGCCAAGTGCACCCAAGGAGTACATGAGGAACTGTCCACTTCTTCCAAGCTCTTTTGTCCGGGGAGCCTGTCTACTTAGTGCCTGCAGACTGATGAAATAAGCTTGAATTCACAAAAGTTTCCATAATCCCAAGATCTGGTGTGAGCCAGGCATGCAGAACTCTGGCAAATCTGTCAAATATGCACTGCCTGTCTGTGACTTACAAATGTGAGTTAGGATTTCAAGTTAAGTAAAAATGCAGAGCCCAAGCTGGGTGTGGTGGTACATGCCTATAATCCCAGAACCCAGGAGGCTGAGGCAGGAGGATAGCCTGGACTACATAGAGAGTTTAGGGCCAGCCTGAACTACAGAGCAAAACCTTGTTTCAAAAAAAAAAAAGTACAGAGCCCAGATGAAGCTACCTGGACATCACCTTCCCAACAGTTCAGGCTGCCCTCAGGGACGGTAAATGTGGGGAGCCCTGGGGAAGGCGGCAAGCACCCCATCCTTCTCATGGTGCATGTTAAAAACTAGTGTTTGTTCTGTGCACCTCAAACTGTGGTCCTTGTAAGCACCAGTGAGCAGGATGTGTCTGGCCCCATGAGAGTTGGAGGAACACCACCTTAGGTAATTCTTTTCTTCCACAGACCGTTCCCAAGCCCATTGCCCTGGAGCCGTGTTTTGGCAACAAAGCTGCTGTCCTCTCTGTGTTTGTGAGGCTTCCGAGAGGCCTGGGCGGAATCCCTCCTCCCGGACAGTCAGGTAAGTCGGGGGGAGAGGCTGTGAGGGAGCCAGGACTTGGAAGGTTCGCCTTCGCAGAGAACAGGGTGGACTGGTGAGATTGAATAGTGCCTCCCTCGCGTCATGGCAGGGATTATATCATATAATGCCACCGTTACTTACATTTCAAAAACGATTCCTGAGATCACCATTCCCACTTCCCTGGAGAAGCCCAGTCTTCCTCACTGGGCCTGGCTGGCGTCCTCAGCCTCTCAGGTAGGGGGCGCTTCAGACCCCTCTGGCTCTGCCCCACCCCCAGGCTGTCTTATTTTGTGTTGAGTCCTGAATCTTGGCTGCCCTCCTGTCATCTCCGTTCCCTGGCTTGTCACTCACTGTCCCTTCAAGGTAGTGATACTCACACTAGTGTTTCTAGCCCCACTCCTTTTTTTTGTTTTGGGGAATTTTTTTTTTTTTTGCCTTTTCACTCTGTTTTAAATAGAAATCCCAGACAAGCATTTTTATGTCATAAAGGACATTTCTGAAAATTCAACCACAAGTCTGCTATGCTAACACTCACAATTTTTATTACTCTGTTTTTTTCCTAGCCTTTGCCAGCAGTTTAGTTGGAATGCCTATATAGATCTAATTTTTATTCTTCCTTTTTCATATAACTGTCATTAGCATTTTTACAGCCTACTACATAGTACTGTACCAATGTTTGTACACATTTCCGTCAAGTACATGAGTCGTGATTTGCATAAACACTCTCTTACTTGGAACACAGAGGCACTATGGCACACAGTTCTGGAAAGACCTTGATTCATCGTGAAGTACTCTGTAAGGATGCTTCAAGCAGCACAACTGTGTCAGACGGCCTCCACAACCAGAGATCCTGAAGCTCAGGGTGGCCTTCGCCAAAGATGACCTAGAGTGTGAGGGGAGGGGATGCCCAGGATGTCCAGCCCTGAGCTGCATGTCCCCTCAGAAGGGCTTCTGGTTCAGCTTACCCAGTGGCAGGGATCTGTGGTGTCCTCCCAGGGGCAACCTAGGCATGGTGGGGTCAAGATTCATTGTCCACTTCACCTCAGGATCCCTAGCAGTGGAGTCCCTGACTCAGCCTTGCCAGTGCTGAGGACGGTATGGCTCATGACTTGGCACTCAGGTGTAGAAGGGGTCTCCTGCCACCACCTGGCTTTGCAAACACTGGCTGGTGCTCCCGGGAGCAAGGTGCCTGGTGGCAGCACACCTGCTACGCCCCACTGCCCGGAACTCCTGCTGAAGCCCTGCCCACTGCTCGAGGCCCATCCCAACAGTGAGGTCGTTCTTGCCCACCCTTCCACACCCCCTATTTTATGCAAACATTTCTTTGGTTTTGTGCTACCAGGGGTCAGACAGAGGGGCTTGTACATACAGGCAAACACTTCACCACTGAGCTACCTCCCAGCCCTTTGAATTTTGAGACAGGGTGTCTCTGACTTGCCCAGGCTGGCCTTGAGCTTGGGAATCCTGTCTCACCTTCCTGAGTAGCTAGGATTAAAGATGTATGCCACCACATCCAGAAACTTTATTTGGCGGGGTGGGGGGAGGGCATGGGCAAGTGTTCTACTACTGAGCCACACCCGAGACACACACACACACAATTGGTGCCCTTTTCTGAATTCCCAGAACATGACTCTGTCCTTGCCATAATCCTTATCACTGGCATGGATTCTCTACTGTGCCAACCATTAAACCAGGCACGTAAGAGCCATCTTCCCTCTCCCGGATTTGACAGGCGGGGGCTGGGGGTAGCAATGACAACCCCTGAGGGCAGCCTCAGCGGGGCTCTGCACCCAGGCTGGCCACCTCTGCAGTGTCAGGGGATCTAGCTTCCCTAGGACTTTGCCCTGCCCAATGAACACCGGGTTCATTACAGTACTACAATAGGGAAAGAAAAGGGGACCCTAGTCCCTAGGGGAGGAGGATTGAGAGTAAAAGGTTGAGAAATTCACTCATTGACTGGCTCTGTGTGGTTAACATGCTCATTTTACAAATACACACCTGAGACAGGAGAGTTAAAAAATCTTGTTTGTTCCAAAGCCTGGTCCAGAGTCTGCGCTGCCCTATACCACAGTGTGGATATAAAAACTAACTCATGCCAAAGGAGTGGTGTGGACAAATCTGAAGTTCATGCTAAAGCGTGCAGCGTTTTTGCCACTTTTTTTTTTTTTTTAAGTCAGTGTCTCACTGCGAAGCCCAGGCTAGCCTCAAACTCACACTGATCCTCCTGCCTCAGCCTCATGAGTACTGGGATAACAGTCATGCACCACCATGCCTGGCTTTCTTGCTACCCTTTTGGAGGCACGCAGGAGAAAGGGCACACTTAGGGCACAGCTACAGTCTTGTTCCACATTCCCACCACCAGGCAGACATCTGCTGACAAGCAGGCTACACCTTCTGTGTTGGTGGGGAGGGAGGATGTGTAGGTGCATTTGTACAAATAAGCCCTGGAAGAATATGAAACTAATGAAGAGATTTCCTCAGATGAGGTGGGAAACGAGGGGGAACGTGCACAGTTAAGGTTAGACTCTTCACTGTGTACTTTCTTAAAATTTTGCACCATGAAAATGCAAAAAAAATAAAATTATTGAAAAACAAAAACAGGCTGCTCCTTGACATGTCCCCCCTTGTGTGTTCCCCCAAGGTCTCGCTGTAGCCAGTGCCCTGGTGGACATTTCTCAGCAGATGCCAGTAGTGTACAAAGAGAAGTCAGGAGCAGTGAGAAACCGGAAGCAGCAGCCTCCTGCACAGCCTGGCACCTGCATTTGACCCTGGGGCCAGGGACTCTCCCGCGCACACGGGCACGTGCCCAGCAGAGCCGCCAGCGGGGGACGGCACGGGCAGGGACGCAGCAGTGCCATGCGGGCAGAAAACTGGAAACCCTCGAAGCACCCAACTCATCTGCATGATCACAGACTTTCTTTGATGGTTTCTCCCATCCGTGTCCAGCATCTAACCTTTTACTTTCGCATAGGAAATAATTTCTCTTCAGGTCCAGGGATGGTCCGCTTGTTGTGGAGGAGGCCAGCGTGGCGCTAGCAAAAGAGTGAGGAGCAACGCCCGGGTTCGCTTGTGGAAACTGTCCTCGGGACTATCTCAACTGCAAACCAGAAAGATGGGTCGCAAGTAGACCATCTTCTGTTGTTCTTCAGTGTGGTCTTTTACAAGCTACTCAGATGAATTCACTTGTTTTCATCTGAAGCCTGCGATCTTTTTAAAAGATGTGCTGTTTACGTTTGCACAATTTCAGCAGATTATCTTTCTTCCAGGAAGTAGTTTTTTTCTAGTTGAGAATTAATAATGGTCCATCTCTCTTGAATTGTGTCAAACTAGGATAGAAGGGGGCTGTATGAAATGTCAAGGTCAGCAGTGTTATGTAGAATGTAAATGGATGTAATAGGTGTTTTCTATAGCAACTTAAATTTAGTCTTAATCCATTTGAAATTTTCTCTTCTGCTCTTCCTCTCTTCCTCTCTCTCTCTCCCTCTCTCTCTCATTCAGACACACAAGCACGCACACACACATACACACACACTAAGTGCCTAGACTTTAAATAGATCTAGCAATTGGAAAGTTAGTGAGCCTAAGTTTTTACATAATTGCATTCCTACATTCTTGTAAAATTTAGATAGCTACCATTGGCAGTCTGCTCTTTTTCTAAAATCTAATTTCCAGCCAGGAAAGAATTTTCTCACCCCAAGGAACGTTTGACCTAGCGGCAGGGACTGAGGAAAGCAGAAATGGACTAACTGTGAATGTACCTGTTTTTATTGTGCTCAAAAAGGACACTGTCAAGAAATTGCGGTCCCCGTGTGCCACCTGCCCCCACCTGGTGTCAGTCTAGTCCTGATGTTTGATTAGCCCTCTGGGCTGCTCCCGCAGGGCACCGCAGAGGAAAGGACTCTTTCACATCGTGTGACTCCTGTGGGCAGAATCGAGCACTGAGTGTGCTTGGGACATCTGAGCCAAAGAGCGGCTCTGTGTTCTATAGCCTGCTCTGAACCTGGAGCCGTCCTCAGCTGGGCGTGGAGTAGACGCCAAGAGGGAGACAGCACCCTGCTGTCGGGCAGCACCTGCCCAGAGCCTGGAGAAGGACCTGGACCTGTCTGCCCCTTCTCCCCAGGCAGGGCTCTGCCCACCTGACCTCCCAAACTGCGCTTGTGACTGAGGAGGGCAGGGAACACAGGTAGGGGTGAAAAGTACGTGAGAAAATGGGCAGGAGGGAACACGCTGCCAAACGGAAGATGACCAAATCTAAGAGGGCTAGGACAGTGCCCTGCTCTCCTCCCACAGGGCGCTGTCTGGGTGTCGCATTTCCCCATTTATGGTGCTCTGTACCCGGCATTATGCAGCAGCCTCCCATGATCTCTTGCGCTTCAAAACCTGCAATTCTCTGGCATCGCCTGATTGGGATGGACCCCTGGACAGCAGTGTTCAAGTCTGAATTTGGAGAAATTAACGCTCAAAAGAGCAGAAACCACGGCATTTCACCTTTAAATGCAGTGCCTAGAGAGGAGGTATTATCTCCAACCCAACACTAAGCCCACTCCTGTGAAGATGCTTCTGGAAAGATGTTTCCAAGGAAGTCGAACCATAAAACACTGATGCGTAAAAAACCTCTGCTGTGAGACTTGCCTCTCAAAAACTTGGTTTTCACATCACTCTTAAAGAGCAGACAATTCTAGAAAAGACCCTGTCAGGAGCTCCCCACACCCCTACAGAACATGGCACCCACAGTACCTGGCCCTTCACCCTGTGATCACCGGGAAGCCTCTAGGTGAAGAAAGGGATGCCACAGGACTTGTCCTCCTACAAGGAAGATCCTCCTTGTTCAAAGGACCAAATTTCCTTGGCCAAAGAAGTCTCTTCCCCGTGTTTGTCCCATGCCTTGAAATAACAGCACCGTGACCCCCAGCCAGCTCATGTTTTTTTCTTTTTTCTAATAGATGTTTATTTTAAAAGGAAGGAAAAAGCAAGTGAAGTTTCACTTCCTCCAGCTGTGGAGAAACAGCTGAATCCACCTGCTTCTCCTTTGCAGCCAACAGCAAACAGCTTCCTCCAGGCAGAGGCCAGAAGAAGGGCATGGAGGGAGGAAGACAAGCACGGCTAGAGCCAGTTACCAAGAGGGAGTGCGTCGACGCTGGTGACTTTGCATGTCACAGGAGAGCCTGTATATAAAATACTCACGGAAACATTGACCTTGCACTTGTATATAACTATACAGTAGTGTCCAGAATGTTCAGGTATTTGGCGTGTACATAAATCAGAAAAATAGCATAATGTATTTTTATTAAACGTAACGACATCTGAGTTTCACCTAATGTTTCTGTGCCATATACTGGGTATCCACGTCTTGGGACATCCTGTCTCAGCTCACAACGAAACCAAGAACCGGGCCACTGACATGGTCGGCTGTACCTGGTGCCTGCTAGATAGCTCCAAACAGGACTTGTCTGTCAGGAGCTACAATGACTTGGGCAGTGAGGCTGTATTCCAGGTAGTGCTTGAGGCAGCTCTGGAAGCAGGAGTCTCTGTCGCTGCTGGCACTCAGCATGCTCCTTGGCAACCTGGTGACCCTCAGGACTCTTGGGCGCAAGGGTTGACTAGTCCCATCGATGTGAAAGCTGTTTCTCTGGTCTTTAAATTCAAAGGCTATAACTTGTGGAAGTCAGACTCCCAAAACGGATTCTCTAGGCTGCATTTTGTTGTGGCTTTCACTAAATTTGTAATGACCATTTCTGAGCACCATTGTCTTTTATACTGAAAACTGGGGCCGGAAGGTGGAGGCTTGTTCATGAACAGCTCCATTTCCCAGGGAGTTCTCACAGCGCAGCATCCTGCACCTCCTGCCCCTCCCTGTGGCCTGGGGAGGTCTGGCGAGGGTCACCTGGAAAGGTGAGAAAGGGGTGCAGAGAGAGCAGGCCACCCCTACTCCTCGAGCACTGACCTGGAGGAAGACAGTCAGTAACAGGACAATGCTGGAATGCTTCAGGTGCAAGACTGAAGATGCGCCAGGAGGCAAAGAAGACAGTGCTGTGGGTAGGAAAAGATTGTGGCTCCATCTTGCTCCTTCAGCAGAGGAGAGCAGGTGGGGATGGGGAGGTGATTCACTTCCTCAGGAAGATAGATGGTGTTACTTTCACGAATACCCCTCAGTCACCCATTCCATGAATTCATCCGTTCGTTCGTTCGATAAATATTTACTGAACACTTACTAACCTAAGCTAATTCTAGGGCAATCATGGAGATGGAAAAAGTAGCTCTTTAGAATTACAGGAAATTCTAAATGCCTCACAGCCCTGTTATTCCAGGAGAGCTTTCCTTGGGTTGGTTTCTGAGACCTGGCCAGCCTGAGGGCAGAACCAGGAAAGCCTCCTGGCCATGGAGTGTGCCCTGGCTGCCCTAGGCCCGCAGACATCCACAGCCAGGGCCCTGGCTTTACCCTGTAGAACAGTCTCCTACCGTGCAGCTTTGCCGGTGGAGATCTCGCCCCGGTGGAGCCCAGCCGCGGGAGCTCGCCATCCACTTGCAGGGTGCGCTCTGGAGTGCAGAGGGAAACTGGCAGCTTCTCTTCCAAAGGCAATAATGGAATCGGCTCAGTGAATGAATCTGTGCACAAAACATTCTGAACACTAGTGAAGCCTGTTTCGTTGAACTAATTCTGGCTCTGGAAACGTTTTTGTTTTATAGTTATTTACATTGTTCATTTTGTTTGTTTTTGTTTGGGTTTAAGCTTAGTTTGTTAATATGTATAATTTAGCATCTATTGCACTCATGTAAATATGGAGTAAGTATTGTAAACTATTTCATTGCTGGGATTGTGGGTGTTATACATACATTTAGGACTGCAATTTTTTGGTATTTTTTGTATTGTAAAATAACAGCTAATTTAAGCAGGAACAAGAGAATTAAGGGAGGTCTGTGCATTTTAAACACAAATGTGAAGCACCTGTATATAAACAGAAGTAAATACTATAATACAAACTTCCTTCTGAAATAAAAGTAGATCTGATAAAAATGTGGTTTTTGTTCTGAGTGCCCAATTTTAATATTGGTCATTGGAACCTTAAAAAAAGGAAAAGACTATTTAAGATATTACCAGTTTGCAGACTGCCCTGGGAAGCCCTTGGCGGTCAGGAAGATGAGGAAGTAAAGCTGCCCAGAGGCCTGTCAGGGTGGAACTCAGCAGCACTGGGCAGATGGGGCGGAAGTGCCGAAGTCCGGTTGTCCCGCAGGAGCCTGCACCCACAGAGAGCTCTGACCGGGCGGGGAGGGGATGCACTGTACCGGGCCTCACCACGCTGCTGTCTGCAGTTGCCGCTCTTTCTCCGTCTCCTTCTAGGCTCCCCAGTGTCTCCAGGTTTTCCAAGCCACTGGATCTGTGGCAGTAACATCTAGCAGGTTTGGTGAACACACACTGACCGTGCCGGGTTTTCATCCTGTCGGAAACTGGTGACAGTGCCCGCCACCCTCCTCACGAGTTTCAAGGACCTTCCCACCTTGGTTGTGGCCATCAGGCCTCTTTCTGGGTCTGTCCCCGACCTGCTCTGCTTGGCCTCAGCCCTAGCACTCTGGAGCATTCCCGTGTAGTCACAGCATTGGTCTTGGCCTGAGGTTTGGATGAGGATATCTCCATTCACACAGCCTCTTCTGAAGGCCTTCTGCACACTCAGCCCCACTTTCTTTGGCTCCTGCCTTCAGGAGCGGTCCAGGCAGTTCATTTCAGTGCCCTGGTATGCAGTAGACTCCCAGTGCTCAGAGGGATAAGGCCATCAAAGGTGGGAGAAAGGACAGATGGGTGCCAGAGACGCTGTGAGACACGGAGGTCAATAGTTCCCAGCCCTCCGGCCAGGTAGGGTGGGAGCAGACAGGGTCACGGTCATAAAATGTCTGAAAAAAGTGATAACACCAGTTCCAGACTTGGTGCTGAGATGCTCCTGTGTAGGACTCTGCCTGGGGACCACATGTTCAAGATGTCAGCAGGAAAGTGGGTCCCTGAGTCACCACTTAGATGCAAACCACCAGAGGAGCAAGTGCTGGACTGAGCTCTGTGTCACAGGCAGGCAATCTTTCCCTGAGATTAGAGCCCTTGTTACAACAGGTCACTTTTCTCACTGATATGCAGATCAGTGCCTTGAAGTGCGATGCACCTGTAACCCAAACCTAGAAGACTTGGCCTTGGCTTAGCAGCAGGTGGAGGGCAGTGAGGAAACAGACAGGAGGAACACAAGGTCCCTGCAAGCAATGGCAAAACATCTGGGAAGGCTTCCATGTTGGGTAACTTGGAAAACAAATCACATGCCTACTGAATTTCAGCCTGAGGGAGAAAGCTGGAAACAACAATGTGGCATGTTTTGTTATTGCTGCTTTGGCCAAAGCATCACAAGAAATTTGAAATCTAGAAAAAAGTCAGCCGGTTTACAAGCAGGAAGTAAAAGGGATGGAGAGTCCTAGTCCAGGGCCTTGCAGTGAAGGAAAGCCAACTGCTTCTACCCTCCAAACATCAGGGGATTCTGGTGAGCAACCCAGGCCTGTGAGACCTAAACAGTGACTGGGCCTTGTGGGAGGCAGTGATCTCCCCACTGAGCTGGTAACCTCAGGGCACCGTGTAGAGGAAGCAAATAATAAAGCCGACATGGAACTGTCCAGGAAAGAACCAAGAGTGCAATTATGCCTGCCTGGGAAACAACAAAGGGTGTAATGAATTTGGCCTGGGATGTAGCTCAGAAGTACAGCACTTGCCTAGCATTGCAAGGCCTTGGGTTTGAGCCTTACAGCCACCCTCTGGCAAGAAGAGTCGTGAAAGCTGTGTCCAGACGACAGAACCAGGCTTGGCAAGGACCTCCCGCCTAGGGCAGGCCCGCAGGATTTGAAAACCAGTAATTGCTGTGTACCAGCCACCATCCTGCCTGCACCAGAGGATTCGTGAGGGCACCTCACCCCACCTCACCCTGCCTGTTGGGGGTGGGGAGGGTCAGCTGTTAATGCAGAGCATTGCCTGGAGATCTGGATGTGGTGGGACCTGTACTAGGAGAGGATGCCTGTGCTTCATGTTGAGTGGGTTTTGTGACCAAGATAACAACTGTGTCACAGACGCTAGGTGCTCAGCACACCATTTCCTCCTCCTGAGTCCCCAGCTCCACCTGTCCTGCACGGACCCTGGCATCTGGATGGAGACAGGTGACCAGTCCTCACCAGTAGTGTGTCACGGCCTTGTCAAGGCTGTGAAGAATGTGTCTCCACCATGCATTAACCTTCTCCGCTCATGCGGAAGGAAGATGGTATTGGAACAGAGTCAAAGGACCTGGGGTCCCAGGTGACTTTGTGGAACAGAGCACTGTAGACCAAAGGTGTGGGAAATAGCTATCTTTTCTTACCTTACCTAAGTGAGTTAATTATCATCCCTCTAGATTTACTCATCTGGCCGTTCAACAGTTTTTTTCTTGAGCAAAACAGGGCCAGGCATTGTGAAGGAACCAGAAGTTTTACAGGGAGGAAAACATAAAATTTCTTGTCCTTGAGGAGTTTACAGCCTAGTGTGGGAGGCAGTATACATAAAATGTCAGATGGTAAATTCGAGGAGAGGGAAAAGTCGCGTTGGGTAGGAAGTGCTGGGGGATTGTTACTTACAGTGTTGCTGGGGAAAGCCATTCTGATGAGGTGACCGCAGAGCAGAGAGCTGAAAGGAGAGCGGAGCGTGCCAAACTGGCAGCAGGACAGAAGCCGAGGCAGCAGCGTGCCTGCGAGATCCTAAAGGTGACCAGGTGTGCTGGCTGGAGCAAAGCAGGCTGAACAGCAGCGATTAAATGAGTGGGGTGGGACACGTTGGGCAGTAGTTCTCAGTGGGCACAAGACTACCTCCAGGGGACATCTGGGGCCTAGGTGGCAAGTTTGCCTATGCACTGGTGGCGGTGTGGCTGTGGTTTGGCGGTGGGCATGAAGGTAGACACCCTGTGATGTGTGAGACCAGTCTACCCAGCGAGGAACTGACCTGCATCCCACCCAACTTTCAGGTGTCTCCATGCTATCTGTCTAGATGAAAAAAAAAGTCTGTTTCTAATCATTCTAGCATGGAACTTAACCATATTATAAACAAAGTATTTGAGCTGGTTTAATATATGATCAGTTTTTCAGAAATTCAACTACCATTTAAATCAAAGGAAGACTAAAGTTTGTTTTCTTGAAAGGTTTACCACAAGCCGGTCATCGGTTTGGAAATTTCTTTCACCAGCAGTAATGTCATTCCTAGCATTGAGTCTCCAACCCCATGGTTCTGTGGGTCCCTTCTGAACAGACAGCCTGTGACTCTGTAGGTGACTGCAGCATGCCTGGTAAGGAGTCCCCTCTACCTGGTGTCCCCAGCACAAGAAAAGACTTGACAGCTGCCCTCAGAGACTGTGTGGAATGCTGAAAAGACCTAGTCTCAGCTCTGCAGCTGGGCCCATCTGTAAGTCTTTGCTTCCCATTTGTTTAATGCCTGTCTCTTGAGTTTGTATATTTAACTTAATCTATTTGTAGTACTAGGGATTAAACCCAGGGCCTCACACATGGTAGGTAAGGGCTCTACCCCTGAGCTACATTCCCAGTCCTTGAAACATTTTTTTGCCAGGCATGGTGGCACATACCATAATAATCCCAGCACTTGGGAGGCTGACACAGGAGGATCACTGGCAGTTCAAGGCCAACTTGGATTATACAGCAAGCCCAAGACCAGCCTGAACTACATAGTGAGACCCTGTCTCAAAAAATCTTCTGAAAACATAACAAATTTTTTAAAAAATTTTAAGATAGGGTCTTGCTAATTTGCCTAGTGGGCTTGAACTTTTTTTAATACTACTGCCTCAGCCTCCTGAGTAGCTGTGATCACACCTGGGTGTGTATTTTATTCATTAGTGTGGGAACTCATTTTTCCCTCTGTATCATCGGCCTCGGGCTGCAGGCTCAGTGAGTGTTGGGAGGCACCTCTAGCAGAGCGCTGTCACAAAACTTCCTTCAACCCTGGCCTTCACAGGCCTCAGCCCAGCAAGGTGGGACCGTGTGCCCACCTGCTTTCCTAGTATGCCGGACTTCCTGTCGAGCTGCTGGCCTGCTGGGCACCACTCTGGAAGCCTTGCACAGCCGCTGTCCCTGGACTTTGGGAAGTTCACCAGCCAGTGTTTGCCAGCAGGTTCTGTGAGCCCAGCCTGACTCACGTGGGGAAGTGGGCAGTGAGCTGTGTCCACATCAGCTTTGTCCCTAAACGCTGGGCTGTCAGCTCGCAAGGCATTCATGAGCCGTGAAGTTTCCAACAATAAATCCATAACACTTCCAGCCCAGCACCTGCCTTTCTGCCTCTCCCCTGGCCACCTGCCAGCCAGGAAATCCACACTGGCAACAGGTAACAGAGACCCAGCCACAGGGTGCAGTCAGCCCAGGGCCAGGTCTGCAATCCCAGTGTGTACATGACAGTCACCGCTGCCTGGTAGGACAGAGGCCGACACCCAGATAGATGTGTCTTGGGTGCACAGGTGGACCCAGCCTTGAGAGATCTGACCACATTCACCACTGTGCACAACCAGGACCTTTTAGGTAGCAGGAACAGAAACCAAACCCTAACAACCCGAGGCAGCTCAACTAGTTTCCTGGGGCTGCTGTAATGAATTAAACAACAGTTTATTCTCACAGTTCTGGAGGCCAGAGGTCTGACTGTGAAGTCCTGGCTAGGCCACACTCCCTTCCATCCTAGTGGCTCCCAACAGTCCCTGGGTGATGGCTGCAATCTCTGCTGTCTTCACATAGCCCTGTCCTCTGGGTGTGGTCTCCCTCTCTCTCCCTGCATCGCTCTTAAAAGGAGACAGGTGATTGCATTCAGGACCCCTGGGGAACCCCAGAGCTTGCCCTCCTGTCAAGATCCGAATCTAGCCCTGCCTTTTACCATGTAAGGTGATGCTATCTTTGCCACTTAAATGGTAACACTGCAGGTTCCAGGGATTCGGATGCAGACTGCCTTTGGGACAGCAGCCACGGAACAATCTCATCATTTCAGGTAGGTTCTGTTCACATCATCTGTTGTTTACAAGGGATATGCTGGTGTTTTTCCATCCAAAATTCTGTGTTTATTTTAAATCATTTCCACTTTTTAAGAATCCTTACATTTTACTTTTATCTGAGTTGAAAACAGACCAAAGTCAAACATGCTCTCATGTAAGGATCATTTAGCTGACATTTAACCTGCATCTGAGCTGCCAGCCACTGGGACTGTGGGCGAGCAGGGCAGAGTGAGGCTTTCACTGCCCTGCATCCCCCAACACGACCCCTGCTCCCCAACCCACGCAGTGTCCACTCTCACGCATGGGGAGGTGAAGGAGATATTCCATTTCCGTGAAGTGAGAACAGATAGACTTGGCCTCTCTCTGCTAACATGTTTGTTTGTTTTTGTGGCCCTGGGGGTTGAACCCGGCCTCACTCATGCTAGGCAAGCATTCTACCGCTGAGTTACATCTCAGCCCTTTTTGTTTTGAGATAAGGTCTTGAAACAGGCTGGCCTTGTGATCCTCCTGTCCTAGCCTCCTGAGCAGCTAGGATTACAGGTGTGTGTCACTATGCTTGGCCCAACACCTTTTTCTTTTGGAATTTGTTGCTCCCATTCCGGGTGACTATGGTAAGCCAGTACCACTCCCAGCCCACAGGGAGAGGCCAGTAACCCATGCTGAGCCCAGCAGGACCCATGAGTGCTGGGAGACAGGTGCCTCTCTCTGCCAAAAGGACAGGTAGCATCTTCCCCAGCCCTCAGTGAGGACATGCATAGCTTCAGAAGGAAGCTTCTGGGAGAACCAGTATGGACAGCATTACTGGAACCCCGGAGACAGCTCTGCCTGAAGCCCAGGCTGCTTGGGTATGTACTCAAGCTGGTTTGACTTGTTACAACCAGGCAAATCTTGACTGAAGCTAGGAGCTGAGTGACAGCAGCAGCAAGCAGTCTCTGTGGGTTCGGTGTGAGCTATGTTCGCAGTCTCAGAGCTGGTGGTTCCTGTTCCCATCAGAACAGCCCCGGCCTGAGTCCTGGTGGTCTGTGGCTAATCCCTGTCTCTTGGGTCAGGTTCTCCAGAAACTGTAGGTGAGGGAGGTGGCTGGGCAGGGGCTGGGGCTGAGCTGGGGGTGAATGAGCTGGAGCGCAGGCTGTCTCCACTGCCTCTGGAACCTGAATGGCAACCAGGATTATGCCACCCTGTCTTAAATCACTTTCGTTGTTGCTGAGACAAAATACTCAACATCCAAAGTTAAAGGAGGAAAGGTTTATTTAGCTCACAGTTTGTAGAGGTTTCAGTTCATAACTGGCTGGCTCCAAAGCAGGATAGCATGACAGAGGGGAATTGCAGAGAAAAGTTCACGGCAAGCATAAGATAGCAAAGCAAGCAAAGGACAAGACAAGCCTCTTTTTGCCCTTATATTGTATCCAGGCTACTGGGATTAAGGCGGTGCTAAAACAATCAGTGGACTGATCTAGCAATCACCCACCCTTAATCCTAGCATTGCACCATCAATCAGTCCTACACTCTAGATTCAGCCACCTCTGACAAAGCCCCACCTATGACTGCATGAGGGTTTGGGTGACATCTAGACACAAGCTATAACACACCCCGAGGGAGGCAGGCGAGGCCCTTATACCCCTGCCCGCCTCAGTCAGTCCTGGGCTGCAGTCACCTTGGCAGCAGAGTGGACCCTACAAGGCATTTCTGGACAGTGATTCCCCGGAGAAGGGCACAGCGGAAAGCTGTATCAGGAGTCTCCATGCTGTCCAGGAGGAAGCAAGCAGGCAGAGGCTTAGTACTTGGGCCCCGGCATTCTACACTCTTCCCAAACTCCACACAGCTGTTAGTTACTTTTGCTGTTTGCTTATATTTATTCCAATGTTGGAGATGGAAACCGGGGCCTCATGCATGCTAGGGAAATTCTTTACCCCTGGGCTACATCTTCAGCCCCCAGAATGGCAATTTAACTTTGTCCAGGATCACATCAGCTAGTGTGCATTACATGGCCTGGGAAATGTAGTTTTTTCTATCTGAAAACTAGCAGAGAAAGAAGCAAAAACCAAGAAATCCTCTCCCATAAGGATCTGAGAGTTGATTTATTTTGGCATCTATAGGGGAGAAAATGGAACCCTGAGAGGTTCTGGGGCCATCTGAGCTCACGTAGGACAGCAGAGCACACCATGTGGCACGTCCCGATCTTCCAGCTCCCCCAGACACATACGACAGAACAAGGGTTCAGTGCATGAGGGTTTATTGAGCGTGGTGTGCTATTCCTAGTGCTAGGGCTAAACCATGGGGGAAAACAGGCCCATCAAGGTAGGACAGGACAGGGACCGGACTCTCATTCATCCAGGTGGTGTCCACCCAGCAGCACACTGTGGACAGGAAGCACTGAGCCACACTGTCCCTGTGGTGCAGGTGGATCTGCAGTGGGTAACACCGAGCTCCCAGGGTGCCCTGAAAGGCTGCGGTAGCTGCTAGTGCAGTTGTGTCTGTAATTCCATTCTGATGCATTCCTTAGTGTTATCTCCTTGTGGGCAGAGGTGGTTTCCTAGAGTCCTAAGAGTCCAGATGGTCTCTGAGATCAGCGGCACCAATGAGGCCTCAGCTCCAAAGCGTACCCTCTCCTGTCCTACCTGGTCAGAGACTCCAACTGTCTCAAGTCTGAAGAAAGGGACCTGCAACCAAAATTCCCACCGAATGGGAAACCAGAGGCTCTTCGATCCAGCCCCTAGCCTCCCAGCCTCGCTCCAAGGGACAGGCGCACAGGCAGCCAGACCTACAAAGGCAGTTGGGAGGGCGATCTGGGCCCTTCACAGCAGGCAGTGTGGGCAGCTGGCTGTGCTGTCTGAGGTCTGCCATCCTGTCACAGCAGGGGTTGGAGAACCAGGACAGGGAGTATGGACAGCAGGGAGCCCCCCTCCAGGGGCCTAGCCACAGAGGACACCTGGGGGTGGGAATAGAGTGAGGACTTGAGGCAGCAGCCTGGCACTGCGTGCGCTCCCTTCCCAGACACACTGGCCTCCACCCCGCCCTCCTGACATTGGAAGCTGTGGGAGGAAACTCCAGGAACTGCTAGTTCACCACCCTGCCCTGCACCTACCTGCGGGAGGTTGTGTCCAGGGTCCCGGGGAGGGTCCAGCTGGACTTGCAGGATTCCAAACCACCTATCAAAGGTCTGTATGGCACCATCTATGGAGTAAAAGCCCACAGGAAATCTGGCTGGAAAACTCTTACACAGGGCCTAGCTCTGTGCTGACAAACTGAGGTCCCTGGCATCTGCAAGGAATGGCTTCTGGGCCAGGAAATGCATGTCCAGCGATAGCAAAACGAGGAGCACTGCGCTGAGTGACTCACAAACTGTACAGCTCTGGGGGGGGGGGGGAGGGCAGGGGTTGAGACAGGGTCCTGCTACGTGGTTCAGGCTTGACTTGTTACAACCAGGCATATCTTGACTGAAGCTAGGAGCTGAGTGACAGCAGCAGCAAGCAGTCTCTGTGGGTTTGGTGTGAGCTATGTACACAGCCTCAGAGCCGGTGGTCCCTGTTCCCATTCCTGGAGAACCAGGACAGGGAGTAC